ATATTTAGACAATATAAAATATAACATAAGGGGATAATGGCCACAGTCTTCACTGCTAGATGGGATGTATTGGTTTTATCAGATGTTTGATATTCCCTTGTGCCTAGATCACTCTGTTCTCCCCAAGTCCTTGTTGGTTGGAAATTTCAGAGGGGAGGGAAAGAAAGTGAAGGAATTGTGTGTGTTTGGTTTGGGGAAGCTAGTCGGGAAGGGGAGGAAAGTATAGGAACTCAAGAGGACTAGACTCATCCAAACTCCTCATATCACTCTTCAATTCGGGAAGGGGTGGAAACTGGAAAGTAGAGGAGCTCAAGACAACTAGACTCATCCAAACTTCTCATATCACTCCTCAATTTAATGTGTTTTGGAAGAGTTATAGTTTCCTAATTTGTCTCGCCTTTTTTTGTATATTTAAGTTGCTCTATATTTTTGCTATATGTAGAGACTATTTTTAACTACAAGATAAAGTATTTGAAGTATAATATGTTTATTTTCCTGAAGTAATAACCACCTCACTCCATTGAGTCAAACATAAGATCTTTTTGAACTCTTCCCTCCCACCCAAACCAAACAAGGGCAAAGTTTGTAATGAATGTTGATCTGGTAATGCAGCGGGATCCATCAATATCAGCAACATCTTGTCAGGGAAGTGCCTTGCTAAAATAAAAGCAACTGATAATGATACTGCCTCGAACAGTTGCGATTGCACCACCCATTGTGGCGGCAGGAGCTGCAAATCTAAGAGAGTCCAAGCAACCTCAAGAATTAGAAGCACTGTTGCAGAAGCACTGGATGACATCACTGCTCTCTTTTATGATGAAGACCGTAATGAGATTTATACTGGAAACAGGTGTGGTCTGGTTCATGTTTGGTCTAACTGAACATTCTCCGGTATGTTACTTTGTTAATGATTTGACTTGTCCTAATGGAGTCTTTGTGATTTCTAATGTTGCATAAGTGTGCTTTTCGTTATCTAAAGCTTTATACTGAAGATGCTACAATGCGGTTGAGCTGTACTAAGAATTGACTTGTAGTGGGTTTATCTGCTTTGTGGTTAGAAGTTTGTACACAGAGTTGGTGAATATTATCTTCAAACAATTCATAAACAATTCATAAGATTGTTATGTTTAATGCCCATCTTGAACGCTTCTACTCGAGATAAATAAACCATTTCAAACAGGTTCTAGTGTATAGTAGTGCAGGCATGGGCTAGTTCCGCTCTCTTTCCTGGTATGCCAAATGCAACCAACACTATTGTAGGAAACTACTCCGTATATTGTAGGATAAGGATTTGCCCGGGGTATACTGCCTGTCCCTGTTTTAGGCTGTATCTTTGATAGGAAATGAGTGGTGGGGCCTTAGCTAGAACTGGCCGGTCTCATCGTAAAATGGAAGAACCAGATCAGGATATGGTATGTCACTATGTCATGGTTCCGGTAAGAGTTAATAACTGGATGTTCTTGATATGTTTCTGTTCTCAGACTTTGTCCATCACTAACCGTCTAACCGAGTAACAGCAGGTGTATTGCATGTATGCTTAGTAAACTACCGGTTATGTGAATGAAAGTCTGTTTGGTCAACTGAAGTTGAATAATCCTGTTTGCTTGTGTTTGTCTGTGCTACTTGTTCCCCCAAAATTGAGATATGCAATGGAAATGCATCCATTTTGGATCTTTGAGCTCAAACACCACTTGTACCACGTTTGGAAGTAGAACTTAACTTTAATAATCTACACCCCGGTTACATACTTACATCGAGTAATCTATAATTTCAAGGATTGTGTATTTTGCGCTTTGGGGTTTGGCCACCACAACATGGTGGAGGTTTCGGTTTCTATCTTATACTACGTATTCATTCTCAACCTTCCAGACATTTTGTTTGTGGGTTAAGGCCCAAAACCGGCTTGGGATTCTACCGGGACCGGGTTCAATGTTTTTCTTTTTAGCTTTTCTAATTAATTCCAAGTTCCAACCACCAACCCCCAAAACACCTAGCCCAACCCGCCTACCACCAAAACAATTTGGGAAAAAAAATGGGCTTGGACCGAGCCGGGCCGGTACCAAAGGAGGTGCAGCCCGGAACTGCCCCCAAAAATACCCCGGGCTGGTTCTAGGCCCGGAACTGGTCCCAGTCAACCGGGCCACCCCTAGCAATATCAAATCTCCAAAACGTAAGACCATTTGTGGTGGTAAGGCATTAGGAGTCTGAAATGCTAAAAATGGAGATTTTGGATTCTTAATTTCTTACATTGGAGAGTATTTTAGGAGGCTAAAAATGGAAATGGGGAGGGAGGAGTCCAATTCTAGCCGGCCGATTGACTCTCGTGAGAGTGCTACTTTGCCAAAAATAAAGGAATTATGAGCGGTGGGTAGTAAGTGGGCTCCAGAAAATAAAACTTCATCTTTCTTAAAATTGTTATAATTTGTTTTTTATAAATCAAATTTTAGAAAAAAAATATCAACATTCATAACTTTTTATAATCTTTCATATGACACCAATATGCAATATATAAAATGAAAACAAAATCTGAAATTTCAACTGTTGAAGTTTTCATGAGCCCAAGAAAAATCAAAACACAATTTTTTAATTCATGTAGCCTTCACAAATAACCTAATATTCCGTAATCAAACTTTACTTGAACTAAGTTCATTTTTTGTTAACCGAAAAATGTTAAAAACATAAATAATGAAATTTATTTAATTTTACATCGAAATGTGTGTTTTTATTTCATAATTATTCAGGAAATAAATTAAAAGAAAAAAATTACTTATAATAATTTAATTAATGTTTTACTAAATTGATATGTAAAAAAATGTGTAGAGTGTATCTTATGGACGGTGCTGAAATGCAGAAAAATAGGAGTCAAAACACTATTTTCATATGGACGGAATCCATTTTTGACATTTAGACTCTCACACCACTCCAAATGGTCTAATGTGGAAACACTTATTTTAAAAGTGACATGTTATTTCTGTACAAAACCCATTTTGCTCCCAACTTTATTTAGAAATGGTATGATGTAAACAAAAAAAATAAAATCACAATATAGATGGTATTTATTTCCATGTGAAGGTTTTGCTGCCATGCTGCCGATTCTACTGGTCCATTGAGAATAAATCAACAAAAACAGAACATGGCTATCAGTGGTTCGTTTACGTACTAGCTAGCAATAAAAACAAGTCTGTGCTCAAAAATAACTAATACCGGATTACCGGATTAGCAGCACATGCCCACACGGCAGTGGAAAACCAAACAAATGGAAAACAAGGGCAGAAAAAATGAGTATACATATAACATATTACACATAAAAAATGAGGAATATAAGTTGCTATTTTGTACTACTACGATAGTATATACTATATAGCAACAAAAAAGTCTCTTCTATAATATCCAATTAGGAATAAACTTTACTGAAACTATGAAAGTTTATTATAAATGAAGTGCTGGTACTTCTAAAAATTGCTTAGTTAGTACTTAGTAGGTACACTTATGACTTATGTAGTTATGTTGCGGACTTGGAGCAACCAAACAATGGATATGCATTTTTGAATTTGGATGAAAGGGTTTACATGAACCTCCCCCCCCCCCCCCCCCTCGTTCCATTGTTTCCACCTGTGGTACCGAAAATGGTGTATCCATATACGGGTTACAAAAGGCAATTCGTCTTTTCTTTGCAGAACTTGCAACAGCCCTCTGCAACTCTGCAAGTATGTTTCCGTCCTCCTCGAACCTCTTGTTTACCCATATGACTTGGTTATTTTCAGAACCAACTCTGTCAACATGAATGACTTCAGTGTTACTTAGGAGCTAGTTTCATGCTTCTGAATCATGTCTAGTGCTTATCATCATCTTGTTGGCAAACAAGTTATTTGACTATTACCAGTCCAAAGTTTTTATATGTGCCAAGCACGCAGTTGATGCAGGATCCTCAAATTGATCCCAAGGAACTGCCTACACATGGTGTGTTATCTAAGAAGATGTCTCCCAGTAACACGACGATTGCTTTCCGCTTTAGATATATTCTCGAGCTCTTGGGTGGTTGTCTAATTACATAAAAATGCAAAAACATTTTTTTCATAGTATTGTACTACTGTGTCTTGTACCTCCCTGGAACCATAAATTGCGCTATAATAGACATAGTTTGAGTTATAGCGACTCAAAAGCCTTTCTTGTCTACTACTCGTTATATACACAATATTGTCATGTTTCATAGGATCTTAGAAGATACAAATCAACCACTTTCTTGTTCCATTATATTCCATTCGCAACCTGCTGTTATGGATACATTTTTTATTATTCACCGGAATTTCGAATGAAAACGCATTTTTGTTTTCATTTTTTTCTGAAAATGAAACATATAGAGCCCATTTAGTAACACCATAATATGTTGATTCGACTAAAGGAGTGTTTGCGGTTGCTTAAAAAAAGCGTTTTTCAGCTTTTGGATTAAAAAAGCTAAAAAGAGTGTCTTCAAATGACAGCTTCTGCTTAAATTAATCACTTAAAATCTAAAAGCCGGAAGCAGGTAGAAGGGTGCTTTAAACTGCTTTTCACTTTTTCTATTACACAAAAAGTACTTATTTTACCAAACACTACCAACTTTTACTTTTTCAGAATCACTATCAACTTTTACTTTTTCAGAATCACCACCAACTTTTACTTTTTCAGAATCACTTTTTTCTCAAACACTACCAACTTTTACTATTAATCACTTTAAAAAATCACTTTTTTAAAGTTGAAGCAATTACAAACACTCCCTAAATATGATGGAATTTGTAAATTCTAACCGGAACGGTTAAATTAGATGAATTTATTGACTTATAAAAGTATTCTGTTTTAGTAATTAAAACAGAGAAAAAATTATACGAAGAAATTGGTAAAATTGGCCTGTTCGGCAAATTCAACCAGAAATCTAAGTAACTCCAATCTTACTTAATCTGATTAGTACACAATTCACCGCACAGAACAAAAAATTATGTGTCTCGTAAAAAAATTGGTGAGCTGATTATAAAATAACTGTTTTATGGATTATTAATAGTGAGCTGATTTCATGGGAACCACACTTACAATATAAAGTGTAGTTATGTGGAATGTAATAACGTAGTACTGTAGCTTATAAAGTGTAATTCAATCAAATATTTACTTAACAAATACGGTAAATTACATTATGTTATATATTTCATTATGTCTCTTACCATACTACGCCCAAACTCTCTTTCTGGGGATAAGGTCAGATGTTTTAACCATATCTATTTTGGCAGCTAGAATGAAGTCATTCAGGCTCAACCCTCCTGCAATTATATATGTTCTTGATTACTCAAACATGTAAAACTGCTGTAATAATCAATTAAACACATGCTGTGGAAATGTAGAAACCATTGAGACATAGAGCACATATCCTAAAAAGTGAACTCAGTAAGAATAAGAACATTAATCCAAATTCTCAATGAGTTTATCTGTGTTGTAAAATGAATGAACCAAAAAATGATAAGACTGGTCACCATAGCAAATATGAAGTCCGTGTATTGTTAAAGATACATACGAAACCAAATTGCGTATCCCAGTATTTTTATACACGGTTGTAAATTCGAGCTTAATAGGCTCAAATACCATATTGCTACATTGAGATCTTACCAAGACATGCCAATTTGATAAGAGAAAGCAATTCAAAATCTTATTTACGGGATAGCTTACTGGGAAATGAAAGGACTGGTCATCCATAAATGAACTTTCTTGATTAGAAATAACATTCACAAAACACTCATTCCAAAACATGAGCATGCCACAGTTCTTTATGATGAGGTTGATTTTATATAACGGGGGGGATCAGCATTTGTCGGAGAATCTAGCAGATAAACCAGATATATGAATACTAAGGAGGCAATGAGAATATGTACCTATGGAAGCAGTCCACAAATGAGCTCTAACTTGGTTAGGCTCTTCCTCCGGCTGCTCTAAGTGAAGGTTAGATGCGGAATGACCGGTCCCTTCCACTGCCTTTTGTATTCTATTGATGAGTTCAACACTACAGCCAGAGTCTCTCAATTTCCATGTACATTGCAGCCTGAGCCCCTCTTCTTCATCTATCAGCCTCCACCCAACAACCTATTCATAATCACATCCCATTAACTTTATATTTATGAATATTGTCATTTGTCAAACCTAACTCAACCCCCAAAGAAGTTCTCAAAAATTGTGGTTGGTAATTGAATGAAGTTGAAATTGCTGAACACTTACAAGGTGACCTTGCGATGACCCTAAATCAAGATAATGTCTTTCTTACCATTGTAGTAAAGAGATTGCAAAAAAGCAATTATTTCACAATAATAGTTACATTATTGATTGATTTTAAAGAGTTTTTCCTTCTGAAATATAGCTAGACAAAAAATATTACAACTATAGTGCATAATCTACTGTAGTTGAAGTTACTAAAGTATAAAAAGCCAATTATTGTACAATTTCTTATTTCGATCGTATGTTTGCCCTATGAGTTTTGCCTCAATTCTTCACTAATGTCTCTTGATCATTTTTGGTCCTTTTCCACTGATTTTAATCACCGGAAACATCGACGTGGACCAAAGGTGGAATTTTTTCTTATAAAATATAAATAGCAAAAGATCATAATTTTACATAGAGGGTTGGTGTTTAAAGACATTCTCACTTGGGGAGGAAAATGTAAAAAGAAATTGACCTTGAGCAGCATCTGGCGAGCTTCAAACACAGACATGGGAGGTTGATGGGGATTAATGGGAGCACAGTCTAGTTGAGCAAGCGAGAGAGCAGAAGCGTTTGGGATGAGTATCTTGTGTTCGGTGCCGGCGTTTCCTAAGACATTCTCGCAGAAATTGCTCTCAATCTCAGCTGGAAATGGGTCTCTGCCTCCGAAATCGCCCAGTAAGTCTGTGTATTTCCCAGAGGCGGCGGCCATAACTCTTCTTGTACAAGTTGGAGAGTGAGATTTGTGAATGCGAAGGAGAGTGGAAAAGGTGGAATTTTTTAATTTGTGGGTTGACGGGGAATATGAAGGAGGGAGGCATAGCTGAGTAGTTGCTGCAGCTGCCGCCATGGATTTGCTTGAGAGAGACGAGTGCGGGAAATTCGTTATCCACTTCTGCAGACACAGTGATGTGGAGGCTCCTCACTTTGGGTTCCGGTAGTTAAGAAATCACTTCTGCAGACACGTGATTTAATGATTTACGGAGTATTAGTTTTAAGTTAAAATAGGCCCGAATTTGAATGAAATTGTAAATGATGAAATGCTTGATATACTCGAGTATCTTTGGTGACGCTGCGCAAATTATACCGTGGGATCGGCCCACCGTGCGCACGGTGTGCCGATCCCAAACGGCGCCGTTTTAATTAATGAAAATCACTCAACCGGTGGAGCCGTGCCCTAACGCGCAGATTCGATTTGGAGCCGGAAGAAGCCATCGCCGGAAGTTGTCTACTGGGTCTCGATTAATTAATACTGAAGCCGTACACTGTCAAGCTATATCGATGTTTTCTCTGCAAGCTTCTCCGTATATGGACACTTCTGGATGGTGGAAGAGAAAGCTCTGCTACAAATTAAAGCATCTGGGAGCTGCTATCTGCTCCCAACCGCCGATCGATCCAGAGCCTGACAAGGGGATGAGGATTTTAGCTTCTGGCTCCTAAAGCAGGGAGTGAGTTTAGCAGGGAGTGGGTTTTTGCATCGGGGATACCCATCCTTGGCCTATCGAAGCTATCAAGTGTTGTCTTTGTAGATTTACATTGGCTTAAAAATATTACATTTTTATTAAAGAGATTTACATTTCTGCTTATCTGGAGTTACATATCTATTAGTGTGAGTTACATTTCAATTTTTCTCAATAAGTTACATCTTGATTACACTTGATTTACATTTGACATGCTGCAAGTTACACCACAAAACAATGTAAGTTACACAACAAAATAAACCTCTGTTATTCAATAAAAAATGATTTTCTAATTAAAAGTCATTTTTAATGAACATAATATTAAAAAGAAAACATATGCACTATTTATGTAAAATAATTCGATAATTAGACTCCTTTTTCTCATTAAGCATAAGTTACATTTCAGGACACAAGTTACATATGTTGTAAACTGAAGTTACACTTGTAGCAACACGAGTTACATCTAATTATGCACAAGTTACATCATTCATGTTACTGAGATGAAAATAAAAAAAACAAGTACTGGAGAAGTTACTGTTCACGCGTGTACTGTTCACGCGATTTTTTTTAAAACTGATTAAAATTATGTCGTTTTGTGGGGTGGAGCATGATGCTCACCGTGGGATGATCCCACGGTATACGAACTGGTGACGCTGTGTTTTGGCGTATCACGTTTATCGATCAATTTTTTCACTAAACAAATAAATTTGGATTTATTTTTCTGACTGTGTTGACGGAAGTGAGTATAGATATTATTTTAATAGTTTTTCATATAATTTTTTTATTAATAAAATATATATTTATATTTTTCTCTCTCATAACTCAGCAGAATCAACCAATCATGCCATTTCCGTCAGAATTTCATAAATTTCATTAAAACAAGCCATTATTACTACGAATTAAATAAGCTAATGTGGAGTATACTATTTATAGTAAATATTACTCGTATATATTGAACGTATAAGGGGTTTAAAATTATGTTTAACATACATTTAAATATTTGTGCTAAAATAAAGGATTACAAAACATTTGATAAAATGTGTGGAGTTGAATACAATAGACAGTGCTGTTATTCGAGCCGAGCCGAGCCCGAGTATCACACATTCGAACTCGACTCGCTCAAATTTCGAGCCTGGCTCGAGCTCGGCTCGTTAAATTTCGATTCTGTATTTGAGCTCGAACTCGGCTCGTTAAAGTAATTTACAACTCGAGCTCGACTCGTTAATATACTCGAGTCAAGCTACTCGAGCTCGAGCTCGACAACTCGAACTCGAAAAACCCATGTATTAACTCGGTCTACATTCTAATGGGCCTAAACTAAACGCCTAAACCTAATGCGGAGTATGTAATAAAATGACAATATGCCCACCTCACGAGCCCTATCGAGCTTCACCGGGTTTTATCGAGTCGAGCCAGCTTGGCTCGTGAACTTTATCGAGTAAACAAAAGAGTTCGAACTCGACTCGTTTTCTCTAATATACGAGCCGAGCCCGAGTTTAATCGAGCCGAGTTGAGCTGAGCTCGATTTCCATAACAGCACTAACAATAGTGCATTAGTATTGGACTCACTCCATATCTATTTAGTTATCCAAGTTTCCTTTTTGGGATATATCAAATTAATTGTCTCATTTTTATTGGAAAGAAACACTCTCAAAAAACAATTATAGTACCGCTACAGTAGTGCTACGATGAGTGTTTTCTCGCACTTAAAAAGATTGTAATATAGTGGTGTAAGTACGAGTATCGTCTCCACAGGGACGGACAAAAGGGAATCAAGAATTAATTAAATTCAGCGATTAAAAAGAAATAAAATAAATGCGTCGTGCGAGATTTGATTGGTATGAAAAATTAAACTAATGCGAATAAGCGATTAAATAAAAAGATTGGTTTCTCTCTAATTAATGACGAAGGGAACAAGAATTGATTCCGGGGTTAACCAGATTTCTGGCAGAACAGGCCTAATTACATGAATTTAATTTAATTGAGCCTAGCTAATCATTAATAAGTTCTTACCGCTCTCGCGGCGTAGAGTACAATAATTTAGGGGACCAGGCTCATCTCTCATGCGACAAGATCCTAAATTATTGCCAAAACGAGCGAGCTTACGGCCCCTTTATCGTTACTAATCTCTTAGCGAACGATTAAGTGTGTGTGAATGTGTCCTAGAATAAACTAGATCTCTCTTAATTTATTCTACAAGCAATTGTAATTCTAGCCGCGGTTCCAGGTTACAAAAGATATCAGTTAAATTATTCAAACACAAATTAAACGGCATTCATGCAATTAAACAACAAGAATGTAGCCATCAATCATGATTAACCCCTTCATCAATCTCAAATCCCTAATTAAACTACTCACAATTCATAACTGAAAAATCAACAGAATTGGGATGAATAGAAATAATTGTCATTAATTAAAAAGATGAACTTACAAATAATCCCATAGTCTTGGAAGAAAATAGCGTAAAAACGGTGTTAAATTCGTCCCTAGACCTCTCCGTAATGTTCGTAACGTCAAAATATGGTATGAGGGTCTTATTTATAGACAACAGATGAGTTTGGGCTGAACTGGGACTAAAAAGGGGCTGAAATCCGCGTCTCGGGTGTACGCACGATCGTGCGTGGCCTCGTACGCACGATCGTGCGTAGCAGGCAGAATGTTATCGCGTTGTTGGCTCTTACGCACGATCGTGCGTCCTTTTACGCACGGTCGTGCGTCCGTGCTCTTCAGCCTTTTTTCTAGTCCGAATTTGAAAAAACTTCCTTCATGAAAGTTGTAGATAATGAAGTCCTCTATCCACCCCAACTTGCCGAATGTGATTTGAATCATCCAATCAAGAGATATGATCAAAATGGTGGAAGGTGTCATTCTGAAATCGCAACAAAGATCATCTGAATTCATCATCTGTTTTCACCTTGATCCTCTCAGATTCTCGGAATGATGTCTTCATATGATTTGTAGACCTTGAAGTTGGCTTTCATATTCAACTTGAATCGTGTCTTTTGGATTCTTCTTCAAAGAGATATGCTTAAACGATTGACCAAAGGTCATCCTGATCGTTGTTTTCCTGTTCATTCATCTTCTTTTGATCCCATAGCCAATCCTAGAGCTATTTTGTCATCAAATCTTCATCGTAAACCTCCCGGTGACCTCCATAGCTCTCAAATCAATCTCAAATTCTTCTCAAATCATTCCGATTTCTCCTCAAGCGCCAGTGCCGAACTCTAAAATCCTGATTTTGACTCCAAATGACACAAAACTCGAACCAACGCCTGTTAAACATAATTTGAGCTAAAATTGAGACTTGTAACACCTTAAAGCTAGGAAAACCATCAAAAGCCGATATCAACACGCATCAAATGCGTGTCTAAATATGGACTTATCATGCTACAGTACCGCTACAATACCATAAACCTCTTACTTTTCATATAATCTATGATAATTATCTTAAACTATGTAAAAAACAAAGCGGGTCAATTAATTAGATACGGAGGGAGTAAATGTTTAGTGTTGGGTTTATAAGGACTTTAACATTTATTTTATTTTATTTTATTTATGTATAAAATATAATTTTAATACATTACTTTCACTTTTTGCACACTTAAAAATTCTCACAAGATTGTGCGCATTGTTTTGGTAGCTAAGTTCAACACTTGAATGTAGTACATCCTGAGCTCATATATAAGCATAGGGGTGGGATAAACTGAATCGAAACTCAAAAACCGATTCTGGCCCGGATTGAATAATGTCCCCGATCTGGACTTTTTCTTTTTAACTTTCTCGAATAAAAAAATTTTGGACCGAACCCGAAAATTCGGGCTCATTAACGGGCCCTAAAATCTGTAACCCGGCCTGATAAAACCCCGAAACAATTAACTTTAATATAAAATAAATACAATATATGAATTTAATTTATAACTAATTCCTAATATATGATTATAATCATGGTGGATGAAAAAATGACGTAGTAACTACAAATATTTTCAGTTTTGAATATCTCAATGACCATAAAAATATATTTTTAGTAACTTTAGTCACATCTCGATCCAGAACGGACCGATCCCACCCCTATATAAGTAGATGTATTGAAATCAGGGGAGGATCCAGGAACCCGAGATGCTCTGAGCTGAAGAGTAATTATACTAGACTTAAACATTATTAGTGGGGTGAGTTGAATATGAAAAATGAAAAAATTTACACTAAAAAAAATTGAAGAACAATTAAGTCATACTAGGTTTTAGCCCATCATAAGCCTGCATATGGATCCTCCCCTGATTAAAATATACAGAGCATCATTTACTCCTTCATAGACAAACTCAATATTAAATTGACACTACCCTTTTTATTTTAGATCTTCCTCCGAGATGGCTAGTTTTTCAATGTTGTTTTTCTATTACAAAATCTTATTTGGTCTAGTTTGTATGAATATGTTTAGTTTGAATTTATCTAATCCGGTATGAGATATAGTATCATCTTCATTTCACTATTATCATAATGTGAAGTGATCTGATTTGATTTGTTTAAATTTGCCATGTTCAAATTTGG